GAGAGAACTGAAGCTAGTACTAGTCAAAAAGGAAAAAATATTGGGATTCTAAAACTATTGTTCATTTGAGAGCATGACATTTATGCAACACTTACCTTCAGTGCCTTTTGTGTTGTGCCTCTTTTTCCTACAAGTCCACCAAACTAATATTCCAGCAACAGCCAGTGCAGCAACTGATCCAAACACAGCACCAACAATAATACCTATGGTACCTACAAAGCGTGATAAGCTTGAGATAAATTTTTGTAAGTGAAAGCGTATCTTCTCAAGCCAAACAATTTGGTCGAACTTCAGTTGTATTGAGTTTCATTTTTCACAAAGGAACCCTTTTTTCACTGAGATTGTAATTAAAGGCTGCAGTGGACATTTAGTTGCAAACGAAAATACAAACCTCACAGGCGGTAGTTAACCATTCCATGCAACAGCGTAACAAATTTAATTTAGCTTGTAAACAGCAGATGCACTTTTCACTTCATCTAAATCTTAAGACATTTGATGATTTTAACATAACGGGTCTGCTTTTGTACTCCTGTTTTGGTTAGGAAACCTTTGGAATTCAGTCAGAACTCATTTTATCTTCGTCTCACTGTTCATTAAAGATGTGAAGCTGAACAGGCCATACTGCTTATGTTCAGAAAAAGTGGGGGGGGGGGGGGGAACACAAATTCTGTTTATGCAAGAGCTTACAAAAAAAGCAGAAGGAAAATTCATATCAAAAATTATCCAACCCTTTTAAGCTTAATATTCGGCTAGAATAACAGAACCATCTACTCCTCGATCCACAAACTTACACATAAAATCGTTCATAATCAAATCTAAACCTTTCCGCGGCAAGGATTGGTGGCATTGACAAAATGAAACAGAAATAAAAGTAAAACCACTAAATATTTAAGCATTTATAAATAATATATAAAACTCAATAACATTAAAGTTGTTTAATTGTTCCCTGAACCAGAAAGATGCAACAGTATTAAGGTATACAACACAAGCAAAATTGTGTCCTTCGACTTACAAATTAAAGCTCGATTCAGTTGGACAGTAAATCATTATGTATATTTTCAGAAAACTTAATGTCATAGGTGTCTGGAGAGTACTTAACCGGATTAAATTACTTGTTACTTTATATTTACAAAGTCATTTGTCTCTGAATAATAGTTTACCTTCTCTCGTCCCACATGGCAGCCTAAGGATTACAAAAAATACGCTCGATTAATTTGAGGAAAACTTGCATGGCTGCTATTTTTTAAAGGATTATGAGAACCACTCAATGTAAATTAAACATTGGTTACATGTTTTCATTAAAAAAATCAATAGCTAACTCAGCGAAATGCAAAACAAAAGCATGCGCACAATTAAATGAAGCATTACTGTCCAAGTACACTGGCACGACGCATATTCACTCTCGTAGTACACTGTCCAATTACGAGCATGGCGCGTATACTAGAATTTGTTTCTAGTTTTGGTTACAACTGTTATTGTCATTGTAGTTGTTGTTGGCATTGTTATCTTATCATTATACACCAAGTTTTCAGATCTCTGTAAAAACCTGCTACAGTATCAATTCCTTCCAACCAAGTACAGGGCAAGGCCATTCATTAATCAACTTGCAAAACGTTTACATTGAGTGTTAGGAGGACTTACCCCCAGAGGACCCATCAGGTGATGATGTAGCACCTCCACTTGTTGGTTTCACATCAGGCCTTGTCCCTTTTATAGAACCCACACTAAACTCTCCCAGCTTTCCATCTTTAACAGCGTCATTAAGTGTAATGAGAACATCTCGTTCCTTTGTAGTGGAGTTGAATTTCAGTCCAAGGTCAACAATTATACTTCCACACCTTGGAACAGAAAACAAGTGACGGTTAGGGAGACAAGAAGTATAAAACGGACAACAAAAAAAGTAAAAAACAATTAATAAATAAAATTTGGGAACAGGAGCAACTAATTTACATACCTAACACTCATTGACTGCACCCTTTTGTAATCAAGTTTACCAGCAAATGCTCTTCTAAGCTGTAAGTAAAAATTTCAACTATTTGTCTAAAAATTTTAGTGTACATGTATCACACTTGTATTGTGCATGTACATAAGTAAAAATGAGGATGACATTGAAGATTATTTACTAACTATGATTTAATTGAATATGACCGTTTTTCTAAGAATCAGCCAAGAATGCTAGTCAATCTGTTTCTTTAAAAGTGCTACTTCAATTAAAAAGTTCTTCTTCCAGTCACATGCTTCATATTTTATTTGTTGCAAAAAAGCACCCAGCCAATTATTGCCCTAAATACAAAGCATGAACAAACACTAAATAATAAGATTGTTAAAAGCCTTTTAAGCTCAAGGTTTGACAGAACTCTAAGACACCGAATGCAATCTAGAGACATAAGAAACACTGTGGAATTAAAAAAATTATTCACACATTCTCTAGAAGCTAAATTTCCTTTCAATCAATATACAGTGAGCACATCAGTCTCTGACCCTGAACAAACTAATAATAAATAAATACATGAATATGAAAGAAATCTTCACAGTAATGAATGCTTCTTAAGCAGTAGTGAAAATAAGGCCTGAAAACAATTTAGGCTTGTACAGGATTTGAACCCATAACCTCTACGATACCAGAGCAATTAATGGTTTACCAACTGAGCTGACAAGCCAACTGGGAGCTGGTCATTATGTTGGTTCCAAATAAACCCGTGAAGTGATGAATAATCTGCACCAGTATTCCAGAGGTCATGGGTTCAAATCCCCTACAGGCCTTATTTTCACTACTGTTCCAGGAGTGTTCATTACCGCAAAGATTGTTTTTATGTTCATATCTTTATCTGCAGTTCACATACATGACTTTCATATATTCAGTAACCGTAATTTCCGGCCGTTTACCCGCGGGTAATCTGTTGATTTTGCATTAAACGCGCGCCACTGCGGGTAATAGGGAGGCGCGGGTTATGTGACAATTTTAATATCTACTGGTGGTTGAATTGGAAAAAATTCTCACCTGCATGCGTTTTATTGTATTAAGAGTGCCACAAAGCGGCACGAAAACATGATGCCGACTCGAGTTTATTTCACACATACAGTAATTAGTTGCGTGACGAACAAATTGTTATGGGCACGCGTGAAAACAAAACCTTGACAAAAATAATCCAAAGATAGCCGGCACATCAGTAACAAATTTTCATTTAACACTCGCTTGAGCTAAAGAGAATTTTCCCATTTTAAGGGACTCGTTAGGCCCAATAGAACCGGAGATATCGATTTTTTTCAGAAATCGCCGACAGTACTTTTCAATTCAAGTTTTAAGAGGCAGTCTCTCTTATTTCCACCCGGTCAATTATTATATCAAACTCCACATAAAGGCTTTTATTCTTTTCATCCAAAATTTTTCCTCCCCAAATATTACATTGGGATACAAAACAAAACCATACGGCACAACGTACGGCACAAGCTATCAGCGGTCTTCTCTTTTGTGCGGACCTTTGTGAGAACAGTATAACATCGAACTGGATCTAATTTTAAGCGATTATTTCTTCACTTCAGAGGCCTAAAACCTTCATTTCTCCCTCAACTTCCAGACATGGAGAGATTATATTCTAATTTTGGAAAAATTCAGCTCTGCAGCGATGTTAAATGGGTGATTCACCGCGAATGTGGCCAATTCCGACATTTGTTTTGATACCACGAATCACGATGGATGCCGCCTACTTTTCGAAGGCAATACCTAGCTATTTGTTAAAGTTATCATGGATTTCACCAATTTGGTTATTTGAAAAATTCTAAAGTGAGCCATGAAGCCGGGCTGCAAAGCGGGTAAGCTGTATTTATGACGAAATCTGCTCCAGTGGTTCGATTTTGGTGTAGGCGAAAAAATCGCGAATGCTCGTACATGTGCTGATTCAAACGTTCATAACTTTTGAAAAATCGAAAACGTACAGGGGTTTTTGCATATTTTTGCCTATAAAGGTCTAAACTTAACGGCTGTGTAGGATAGAATCGTCAACCAGGTCCCAAATCCCAAAACTTAACGTCTAAATCAAGGTTTTTTACGGCCATCGGCCGATGGCGATTTCTAGTGGTCAGAATACGCTAAAATTCGCCTTTTCAAATATATTGAGAGGGCAAATTCTAACTTTCTTGGCAAACTAGAAAAGTTTTTAAGCAATCTGATATAAATTTTGTGGCTTAACTATGCGAATCAAATATTTTACAATGTTACAAAATATGCCTATTTTTCAATTTTCGAGACGTTGCGACGGTCCCTACGGACTGGGAAATAATTATGGCTCCTAATGCAGTCAGAAAATTATTTCGAATCAAACCAAATCTAATTTAGTTCTTTCCTAGGTAAAGTCTTTCTGTTGACAGAGTTTCAGGCAAAATTATTTTTGACGCAAAATTGACCGGGTGGAAATAAGAGAGACAGCCTCTTGACACTCACCCAGCTTTACATCAACAAATCAACGTGGCGCCGAACGATCGCTCGCACAACCGTATAATTTTATCAATAAAGTACATGCTAATATTGACACACAATTGTGCACGCGTCTGAATTTCTTTGATCTTTAAACTCGACAAAGAAGCTTTCAAGTTTTGGAAAGTTAGATCAGACAACTTTTAAAAGACTGAAATGTATCACCTTAATGTCACGTTTTCGCCACCAAAAAGTTGAATAGCATAACGTGCGGGTTATCCACCAGTGCGGGTAATCTGTTGACTCTTTTTCTCGCCGTATGCAATAATCGGCCGGTGCGGGTAATCGGCCGTGCGGGTAAACGGCCGCAGATTACGGTATTTAATGAATAAATAGATATTAAATAATACACTGAGCATAGGCAATATTTTATTAATTATAGTTACCTCTTCTTCCAATTTCCTCAGTAATGATGATTTGTTGTATTTTTCATCTGTACAGTTTTCACTTGTGATGGCAATGGTTACATTAATCACATTTCCTGCAATGTCTGTGAAGTGGGATAATGGCTCTAAAATCTATCTTTTTCTACACATATACAATCCCATTATTTCATAAGAACCAAGAATGCCAATAATTCACAATTACCAAAATGCTGAAAAATCTTGCACAATGCAAATAGATTTTCTCAAAATGCCTATTGATACAGGTATTCCTTTAGATAAGTCCCTGGTTCAACTTTTAGAACCCAATCGAAATGTCATGTTGGTATTAGTATGAAGCTACAGCTGTATAAGCAGAACTACAATGCAACTTACAAACAATGGCAGTTTTTGTATCATGTCCATGTAAATTGGCCACTCTGCAGGTATAGCTGGCATCGTTAAGCACTTGTGAAATATCAAGACTATTGTTGTTACAAAGTTGTTCTGGGTCATTACATGGAATCCAAGTGTAACTAGGTGGAGGGTTTCCTTCTGCTCGACAGTTCAGAGTTAAACTTTGTTGTACATCAACAATATACTCAGTTTGAAATTTAACAATCTTGACTGGATCTGTACATCAAATTGGAAAATAAAAAATCAGATTAATAAACAGCATCTACATCTACACAAAGATATATCTGAGTGACTTGTCTTCAATAGCTAAGGGGTCCAAAGACACCAGCACACTTACATACAAGAGGCTATTCTTTATCTAGTTTGTTGTATTTTGGTTGAATTCAATAACATGGGTTTGCAAAATGTTCTCCTACTTTGTGTATTGTGGTTTCAATGAAATTGCTATTGTCTGGATGTTACCTAGGTGATCCTCTTGCCATTCATAAATGTATGTTAAATAAATAACTGGTACCAAAAGTTTCATGGGTTCCGATCATTAGACAGAAAACTTTTTAATGTTGACACTCAGAAAACCATTGAGGTGGTATTTCAAATCTTTGAGCTGAGATCTTGTCAGATATGTTGAACCAGATTGTTTAACATTTTCTAATTAGAATTAATGAGACTGTGGAGCACTAGAGTCTCCTAGCACAACATCTAATCTTAATCTTAAGAGGAGTAAATTAACATTGACAGAGGTGGGTGAACACCTGCCGGAACAGTCGGCAGCGCTCCAAGCTGTAATCATTTTTAATCCACACAGAGGTAAAGAAGGGATTTAAGTTACCAATTAAGTTGGCAAAGGAAAGTGTTGTTGTTGGGGGTGCATTTAATAAAAATACAATTTTATGAAAAATTAAGCCTGGAGCCCTTCATGGATGTACTTAGCTAAACATTAATAATGGTAATAGGACTGGGTGGAGTCTAATTCAGTCTGTAATCATACTGGTGATTAACAAAATCTGGTTATCACAAGTATGATTACAGACAGAATTGGAGGACACATTTAAGCCCTGTTACCAATTAATCAAAACTATGACAAAATTTGAGAAAGAAATGAGACAGACAAAATGTGAAACAACAGCCTGCACTCATGACCCATTGTCCAATTATGCAGGCATGACACGTTATCTGTCCCTTAACTATCCTATTACACTATCCAATTACAAGCATGACGCGCACACTGTCCTATTTGTGCTCGAGTCGGGCTAGTGATATCCAATCATGTTCAAGAATTTTGCTATAGTTTTGATTAATACAAGTAATTGACAGCAAAGTACATTAAAACACAGATGATATATGGAAAGCACATCTCTGTTTAACATTAGTTAAAGTTGTCTTCAATGCATACTCACAAATAACATTTACATATATGGTTTGGCTCTCTGGTTTACCAAAGCCATTGTATGCTGTACAGGTATAATTTCCTGCATCAATCCTGTTGATGTTTGTTATAGTCAGCACCTTCCCTTCTTGCACCACATGAGTATTTCCTTGGTTCCCAGGCTTCTCTTTGGTCCAGGTGATGTTTGGTCCTACTTGACTCGATGCTTCACAGATTAACTGCAAATTTTCCCCTTCAAGAATGGTTGGTTCACCTCTTATTCCACTGATATTTATTGGATCTAAGAAAAATCAAACAATCACTAGTAAACTTCAAGGATAATTGAATGGCATGTAGACATATGAGCAATGTGGAAAACATTGCTGACATGATTTTTAAATGTTCTTTGCAAACCTTGCACCTGCAAATGAAATTCAAATGTGTTATGATTGTTCAAATTAAACAAGAACAGTCCCTGAATTATAATCCATTATAAGTGCTTTAATATATCTGCCTTTAAATGTTTCATGGACCACTAAAAGGCAACTAAATTTTTCTGAATTATTTTCTCAGCTTAAACTAAGCATTATTATTTTAACTACAGTTTCCAACAAGTAATTCTGTAGAAATTAATTTTGAGACTCAGACTCACAGGAGCTATTTACAAAAACATCTTTTTTAAAAATAATTTTTTTAGCCCACCAATGTGTGAATAACCAATTATAGTGTGTCACTATAAATGACTCCCACAATGTTTTGGCAGCAAAACATAATGCTCCTTGATTTCAATCCTGGAAACATCTCCTGGTTAGTTTCAGTAACATCTAGTGATCTTTGCTATACCTCTGTATATAAAAGTAGGCTGTGAATGGGTAGAGATTACATGGAGAATAGTCCTTGACTGTGAGCCAAGGGGTTGGGTGTAAGAGCAAGAAATTAAAGAAATCCCATGAGGAATAGCAAAAAATATTGCTGAAACGGAGGAAGGCTTGTGGTTTACACAATCCTCCCTGATTGTAACCAGCAACCATCAAGAGGTGCTGCTGCAGCCAGTTCAAACCACTATAAACTTGAAATCAAAATTGCTGTCTAATGGAATTGAACCATGGTTTGTCTTGTGAAACTGCTTGGTAGGTTCCTGCAAATTATGGTTTAGAAACTATCTAGTGGAGAGTCTCCTGGGACTCCCTAGGATACTTTAATTTGTGTATCTATTGGCATACTTAACTATACTTGGACATCACTATGGTCACCCAAAAGTGTAATATTGTATCTGTGAAAATCTCTGGAGCAAAAAAAATACGTACACTGTACAATAAGTGCCAAAAGTAGGTGGATGACAATCCTCTAATCAACATAATAAACAGAAATCTTGTGATTCATCTCTAATAAGTTACTTGCAAGTCCCACCTTCCCCCCCAAAAAATATTGCCTGAAATTGGTCACCATTTTGTAACACCAGGCAACATTCAAATAGGGAGAGTTACATGAAAAATTAAAAAATTAGTAAAGCATGGTCAGACTTTTGCCACTCATTACACAATGAAGTTTTTATGCAAGTATGTCTTCTTTAAACATATCATTGGCTACATAGAAAACTTAACAGCCTTGAAATTAGACCTGAAGACTCTCACAGTACTTAACAAAAAACCATGTGAGGGATTTCTGATTTTCATAATTTATCTACCACAATGGCCTCAGATGTAACACATATCAGTAAAATTTTGATGAGCAAACTTGATAGAAAACCAGAAAGCAAATGACAGTAATATTCAAAATTCCCTACACAGATTTGAAAATATACCCCTCCTGTTTGAAATTGTTGAAATTTTGTTAAAGCTGTAGGATTTTATACCTGATTTATTTGCTTGAGGAGACAATTCCTCTTAAGTTAGTAACTAGCTTTCCAAAGATAATTATACTCTGTGCTTGCTAAGTGGGTAAATTAAGATCTTTCTGATAAACTTTAAATATACTGAGTGTAAAAGGACTTTTGTCCCCAATTACACATGCAAGTTTCCCAGCATATAATAATCAACACCTCTTTGGATTTGAATTTGGACTTGAACCCTTCAAAAATTTTTAATGCCTCGATTCCTCTTTAGGCTGACTATTTTTTCACAATTTTATCCATGTGAGGTTTATCAAATCAAATCACTCAAACGTCCACCGTTTGGTTGGTCACTTAAAAAACCATCAATCCAATAAACTAAATAAATTTGTTAAAAGTGATTTAGATGTTTTTCCTTCTAAGAATTGAAATCTTTCAAGTTCTACCTGCATTTAAACTAGGCCCAGAGGGAAGAACTGGTTAACAGGATACTTCAGCTAGGATGACGCCTTTCTTATAGTCAGCAACACTTTCAAGCTTACCTATGACTTGCACTTGAATTGCTCGTTTCCAAAGATTAGCGTTGGAGTCAACCAACTCACACCTAAATTCTCCAAAAAACTTATCATCAGAAACATTCACAGCGGAGATAATCAAAGAAGCTCTTCCAAGAGTTGAGGCTGCGCTGAACCGTTCCTGAAATTGATCATTAATAGGAGTAGCTGAACCATCTGCTCTAAAGCTGAATATAGAATCAGTCTTGAATCGTACGACACCACCCAGACCTAAACCTGCCGACAGACTGTAGCTCCAGTTCAGTGTGACAGAAGATCCTTCATAAACCTGTACAATACCAGGGAGGAGCACTTCGTTTGGATCTGATGTTGTCTTACTCGGAGTAGGTTCAAACCATGTCACACTTCGGCCATCTGAAGGAGAATATTTCAGATCGCAGTAATATTACCACAATTCATGCTTACTATTTAATCACACGAGGAACAGCATTCCAAGGACTGAATTAAAAATTCGTATGAAGTTTAGAAGGCACCTCAATGTGCTGCTGTCACACCGAAAGTATTAGAACAAAATTCTACATAAATACATTACCTGTTGGTTTGGGTATAAGAAAAACCCACATACAGATATATTTCAAAGGAAAACTCATTTTAGAAAAGTCCTTATTTCCCAAAGATGAGTACTTTACTGAACTAGATGAAGAAATGTCACCGCCATAGTTCAAAGCGAACGACGGAACACTTTCGTTTCGATATAAACTTGAACTAACGTGAGAACTGATTGGCTATTGAATGATGATGGCGTTTTAGACGGAGGTTCTGATTGGTTTAGGGGTATTTGAGCAACGTCTGAAATGGAAGACCTAACAATCCAAAATTACCTCAAATGTATATTAGAATTGTTAAAACTAGAAACACTCCATAATGACTAGCTATTTCACAAACAGCCACGGATCTTTTGAAGTCTTTCAATTTAGATGTACTAATGCATCTATCATCGGCCATCCCCTGGGGGGGGACCCCGGGCAAATTCAACGTTGAATGGGGACTTATACGGGGATTTGAACGATTAACTTACCCTGGAGGCGGGGGAAATGAGGGAGGTTTGTTTTCCAAAAGCCTTGCACCGCGGGGAAAACAGGGGACTTTGCAAACGAAACAGGTCAATTTCAAGTTGTCTTAAATGAATAAACATGAAGACCGCTGTGCAGAAGAACGTAGATCAGAAATGCTCATCAACATTGTTGTAAACATTCGGTTTAAGTCCAAAAAGTCAGCTGAACAGACATCGTGTATTACACTGTATTTTGGTTAACATTTTTTTGTAATTGTATTTAGCAGTACATTGAAATTTGCATTGTTACGAACATGTAAGCACTATTAAAACATGACATTTCGTTAAGGGTATAAAGTACTGTTTTCTTGTCAGGTTTCAAGCTGCTAAAGGTGATTCTCCTCAGGGAGGGGAACTTTGATTCCTCTGTGTCCCCACCTAGGAGGGGGAAAATAAGAACTTTGACAGGGTCCTTTACAAAGTCCCCACCCTTGCCCGGGGTCCCCCCCCAGGGGATGGCCGATGATAGGTGCATAAACGAGTTTGTGAAAATAAAGAAAATATGTATGGAAAATTTTTTTTTAATATTGTGAAGAATTGGCATTGAGTGACGAACCCTTCCTTGTAGCCCATTAGCGCATAAATATTTCGAATATTTCCCGCTCCTTTCGACTTCTCTCGCTCCTTCCGAAATGTAGAATTATTTATAGCCCGTACGACCGCACAAGGTGCTACTTTTAGCATGCGCGGCCAGCCGTTCCACGGGCACTATCTTAGCCATTACGTAATGGGCAAGGAGGAAGATAATGCGCAGGCGCGATTGCGCGCGTAACTTGGATACCCCATAGGTGTGCGCCAGGAAACACCGGCAGATGACAATGAAGTGCGCATACTCGAGTGTCGAACTTCATTGAAGCGTGCCGCGGGCACACGGCTAGGCATTGCAAGAGGGCTTCATGTGGGCTAGTGGATGTGAAGCCGTGTAAGCAACTAATTTGCAACCCGCGTTTTGAGCGCGAAATCAAACTGGTAAGGTTGAAGTTGAACGGTAATTCTCAGTATTTCGCAATTTCTAATCAACTCGCAAAGCAACAATACCGGCAGAACTAAAGCATTGTCAACGGGAGGAAATTGTCATGATTCAAGTTTGTGGAGAGGGTTTTAAGTGAAAATAGGATGAAAAGTAAGAGACTGTGCGTCCGAAAAAAACAAGAAGTAAAAGACGTAAAGCGAGTCGAGAAAAACGCGCAAGAAAGTTAGAGAGGACACCAAAATAGGCAGAATACTGTGAAAGATACACAAAAGAGAACAAGAAAAGACATTAGTAAAAAAGCAAATATCTAGCGAAGGGTAAGGAAGGATATAATATATAGATTTAGCCAAGCGTAAAAGCGGAGCCCGCATTTTTTTTCCCGTACAGTTGACCACGCATATTGAAAGTAATACTTTGTACGGTCTTACGGTCATACGGTCGTAAGAAGTTATCTTGCGGATTTTGTTTTGTCTAGAAAGCTTTCAAATGATAGCGAACGGCGAGTGCAAGTTTCTACCTCTTTCTCTCTTCAGTCAATTATCGCAGGATTTACTCTGTTCATTTTAAAAAGTCGCGCCTTATCGAAGACGTATTGAAGTAGCCTAAGAACGAAGTGGTAGCCCTTCCAAAAATTGAAATAAAATGAGATTAAGTCAGTGATGTCCGTGTTTACATTAAGTCTGACGCGGTAATTTGATTTTGACAATATTGTCATGTGAGAACCCGTCAAACATCTGAGAATTAAACTACGGACCGCAAATATGTGGTGCGAACAAACTCACGGGAAAATTGGAATAAGTCCTACTGCTGAATGAGTGAACTTCATTGTTTAGTCATGGTACTTTTCAGCGCTATGTTTTCATGCTTTTTACTCGATTCGTACGAACTTCAGGAAATAATTTCAATCGTCTCACAAAACATGGAGCCACTCTCCCTTATCTCAACATCTCTAGGCGTACTTACTGCTCGGGTTATGATGAACATGCTTGCGATACAGTATTTTTTCCTAACGCTGGAAACTGAAGAATCAATCTCTGAAATCGATAGTCATCACATTTTACAAGACGTGTCTGAGCTGTGATCGTGTAATTAAACAGGGTCTTGGCAATTTGAGCTCACAAGCACGCTGGTAATCACATAGTTAGTGTAAATAATTGTTGTTTCCATTTTTTTAATTCGAGAGTCGTTTTTGAGAGTCCGTTGGATATTTTCTGTTGAATTCAATGAGGTGCAATCTCGGAATTCCATAAGTGATTATGAACGATAAATTCGTACTGGCACCATACTTTAGGGAGGTTTTGTCGACACATTATCAGTTTACAATTCGTGAACCATTTCTGTAACCTACTTGAAATTTTTTTTTAATTAATTGGGTCACACTCTCGGAATTTCATCAGTAATTAGGAGGACATACGTGCAAAAATCAAACAAAAATGAAATTTTTATGGCAAGGGTCAAAAATTCAAATTGTCTAAAGTTTTGCACACATGTAGACCCTAGTAAGACAAGAAAGGCTGTGTATTTTTTTTCCCTCAAATATGTTTTTATTTTCGAGAAAAATGAACTTTTCGCTTTCACCCTCTAGAATCGATGGATCGGGTCATAACAGGTCGAAAATTGAACACTTTCGCTCGCTTCGCTTTTCAAAGATATTACATCGAGGGAAATCTAACCAACGTGAGCTCTTTCATAGACTCTTCGTCTTATGTAAAATGTAAGTTGTGTAGGAATTGGTTGTTTAGAAGCTTTTAGACATGCCAAAAAACAATGTGCTCTCTTTCGTTACAAAAAATGTCGGTGAAGAAAACCTCTTTTTTCACCATGTGCCATTATTCAGAATTCCACAAAATTACATATGTAAATTGCCGAAGGAATGATCTTCAAAATGACATAAAGTTTTCTTTGGGCAAGCAAATGTTTTCTCGCGACGCAGGAAACTCTTCAAAGTAGCACGCGGAAGACATAAAATCACGCCAAGTTTGTTTATGCAGAGATATGCTGCCATCTGTCTGTCTAGTACGATTATGCACCAGTGCTAACAACGGTATACGATTAAAAAACTTTGCTGTTCTCTCGCATACGAATCTTAAGTTTCTGCCCCTTGTTTGACTTGCTAACCCGTGCCTTTTAACTAGCCTATGGTAAACGAAAATCCACAAAATGTTACCTTACAGAGGCCCTTGCAGGAGTTAAGTGAGGGCTTGCATGACCTAATTTGCATAATTGCGGTACGAGTCGTCGTGCTCGTGTGACAGAATAATTTGGACGTACGAGTAGAGTCGATCGACGTCATTGGAATAGGCAAAAATACGAGGAAAAGAAATAATGTGTCTAGATATCCATTTAGCTCTGAGTTTTCCTAAATTTGTACTCGTGTTATTTTTTTTCTGCGCGAGTAAAACTATGATGTTTGTTGACTTTTCTACGTAAAAGCGAGACAATTAATTGAATTAACAAAACTTAATAAACAATCCTCCATTCGATTTTTCTCACGTGAAACTAAGAAAAATAATTATTTCCCGCCTCCTTTGAATCGGAAGTCTCGCTTGTGAATGAAATGGAAGCTTCTTGCCCATTTAAGTTTATAGTTGGAAGTGCTTGCTCGTACGACTGACAAGACAGGAGTAAATTATTTGAGGCGGTTCCCTTGGTGTCGTGCAATAAGGATGTACAGGGTCATAAAAGTGCTTGGTGTTTTGCCGGAGTTAAGAACGAGAGTGAACTTAACCTTGCCCGAGCAGGTATCTTTTACAAGAGTGCAAAGGATATAAACGCCCTAACGATTTGTCCATTCCACCGTTCTGAGCTTGGCGAAGGAGCCAGAATACCTACAGAATTCCAGATGATTGTAGGGATGTCAGCCCTGATCTCTCTCGAAATCGAGAGAGCTGTACAGGAAGTGGGAGGCACAACCGATACGAAAGAAGATTTGGCCTTTGTGACTTTACAGTCCAAACAATGCATAAATTCTTGGAAATCGCATTTACTGCGTTCAACAAACCAGGACGAGTCCAGACCAGACGTCATCGATGAGCTGGATGAAACTTCTGCCTTACTGGTCTTAGACCGGGCAATGAAATATCTACCAAATAAATATTGGGAGAGCCAAACAGACTGGTTTGGTAAAAGAGATATGCCATGGCATATCACGGTTGCGACGGGAAAGGGAAATGATGGCAAGATTGAGATGATGACATTTGTACACTTATTTGAGACGTGTAACCAGGACAGTTCTGCAGTTCTTGCCATACTTAACGACGTCTTTCGTCGACTGAAGGATGTCATGCCTCATTTACAATCCATTTATCTTAGACAAGACAACGCCGGGTATTACCACTGCGCTTTAACCCTGGATACAGCCAGCAAAGTAGCAGAGCAAAACAATCTCTTCCAACGCAGAATGGATTTTTCAGATCCCCAAGGAGAGAAGCTTTCCGTCATCGTCTGTAGCTTCTCTTGAAATGGAATGGGCCCTAAAGCAGAGTCGTTCTCGCAATACTCGTTTCACTGATAAGCAAAAGGCCCACTTCATATCCAAGTTTGAACTGGAGAACAAACGGGAC